TTTTTTTTTTTTTTTTTTTTTTTTCAGAAAGCACGTGTGTCCATTTCCAAGACAATGGCTGGTACTGCTTTGGTCTCCCCACCTGATAAAGAAAATGTTCCTCTGGCAAGTCAAGCATTTGAACAATTTTGGTTGATTCTAACTCTTACTCTTACATAATATTTTAACCCTTTAACTCCCATGAGTGACCAAGACAGAATTTCTCCCCACAATATCAATACAATATCAGGCAGACAGGTGATGAGAAAAAAGAAAAATATCAATTAAGGGATTATAAATTGATCAAATATCAGATTCTCAAAATTGACACCACAAGAACTGTATGACAGACAGTGAGGAGAATTACTACAGAGATCTTGGGAGTTAAAGGGTTAATTTTTTATTTTGATTTTGGAAAAATGTCTTCGTGAGGTGACACTTCCAGTGAATGTTGTTTTCATCAGATGTGTGGTCTTTTTTTGAGTTACCTATTTACTGCATTTAATGCCACAACATTTATTTAATGTTATGTGTAACCCCCACAAGATTTAATTAAGGTTAGCATTTATGTACAAATTAAATTTTTAACCAAAATCATCATGGATAATAACAGCAGTTATTATTAATTAGCAGTAATTAATAACAGCAGTAATCATTACATAAACTAGAGATGTACGTCAAGTTTCATTGTCTTCCCATTGAAATTCCAAGAAATATTATTAGTTTTAACATACTTTTTGTTTCAAACATTTTTTTTCATAATCCTCAGATAAATGTTTTGGCTTCTAATGGTTTGGTGTGGTGTTTGTTTATAGCTTTACCTTTATCTGCAGCATGTAATTTAGGGGTTGGGCAATTATTCAAGGATTCATTATTTTCATGGCTGTGTTGGGAGTTTTGGCCATTTATGGATTGGCTTTGTGTTAATTGCATCAAAACTCTTTGGTTTTATGGTTTTTTTTTCTGTTATGGTTTGCACTTTTTTCTCTTTTTTTTCGTTTTTGGTTTTTGGTAAAAAAGTTATGAGTGGGTGTTTGAATTTGGTTACTAGTCTCTGTTTGGCAATTATGCACCACAACTGTGCAAACACGCTGTGGAAATATTTTTTTTCCTGAATATATAAATATTAGAAGCTCTGTTCAATGAAACTACAAGTATAATTATAAACTAATTTAGCCTCTTCTTAAAGCTTTACCATCTCTTAATCCATAATAAACCATTTTATTTAATCATTTCACTATTTATTTTGCTTAGGGTGCTGGCCTAGAGTTGACACAAATTCCAGTTAGCAATAAAGAGAAAAACTATCTTGATGAACAGCATACTCATCTACTTCAGTGCCTGGAAAAGGCTACGGTATGTAGTTATAAGCCAGTGAACCCTTTACACCAAAGCAGCAGTATTCTATATATATAGTATCTATACTTCCTTTGGTACTGACAAGCAGAATTTGTTTCATGATCAAAGCCTCTTTTGTTTGCGATCTTTCCTTTAGACCAACTCATGATCTTAATGAATGGTTCAGCAGTTTTCCTGCAAGGAAAAATTAGATGTTGGTTACTCCTAGTTTTTAAAGGGTCAAAATAGTGGTAGTAGTATCACATAAAACTTCAACAGTGAAAAGTTCCCTAGAGCCTTCTCTTCATTTAAAGAAGTTATGTCTAAAGTTAGGAAATTATCTCATGAGCTTCAGTTGCATAGTCTCTGAAGGACTTTCACAGATTTCCAACACTTATTCGCTCCCCCAAACTAATTTTATGCTACCCTTGGTTAGTTTCTCCAAGAATAATGATTCACATCCCTACACATGTATTTTTCTTTCTTTGCTTGGTTGATTAAAAGAGAATTTTAAAAATTAAATCATTAGCCAAAAAAAGAAAAAAAGATTTTATCTGTCAAACAACATTGTTGGATAGGAAAGGGTTGAGAGTTTTGAAAAGGGATCATAGGTACAGCTGTTATAATTGTTTCTGTCCTTGCTGTTATTCCACACTCTCTGTAGAAATCTCTATATCCAAGATAATCTCACTATTTTGATTTTGTGTGGCTCTATTCGTTAAAGTAGTTGAATGTTCGGACAAAAATTATGTTCATTATTTCAAAGCTTTAACATCCCCCACCCTTACTGTGCAACGTCCCATGCATTTGAACTTTTGAAGATTCCTCTGTTCAAATTTTCAGCCGTGTGGGTTAAAATTGTGTTCAAATGCCCTACCCAAGTGCTAGTGCTAGTCAATTTTTTTCAAAAGGCAAAATTGGCAACCCTGAATTTCTACTCACTGACCAAGCTTTAAAACCTAGACTAGCTGTGTAGACCTTTTCTTCTGAGCATTTTGCTCACAAATGTGAAGTCTTAACCTTAACTTTAAAGATAAAACAATTATATTCCACGGTAAAGACTTGACACTTGCAGTTCAAATTGCCCACCCCAGCCAGGCAAGGTTCAAGAACACTGCTTCCCAGGCACTTGTGACAGTCAAATTCCTGTGGGTTGCTTGGGGAAGTGGGGGAATGTTGAGGCTTTAAATTGATTGGCACATTGTAAAATCAACAATGTTCTTTACTTTTTTGGCTGGTGTTTTTCAGGCACGGCAATTTGTTGAAATGGAGTACTCATACAAAGGAGAACCAGTGAGGAAGACTCCCAAGTTGTCATCTCCTATTTGTACTCCATCTGGTTCACCGATTTCCTCATCTGTTTCACTAGCAGCAGTGTGTGACAATGCCTGCTATAACCGAAACAGCTACACAGGGAAATGCATGAAGCGAACAAGATCTTTCTCAGAACCAGCACATCAGCATGAAAATGCTTTTTTCCCAGATCATCTGGAAATGAATGATGTAAAAAGCAAGAACAAAGTGAATTCTAAACCACACAATGATAAATCACCAATGAATGTCACCACATCAGCTATTGTGACCCTCCCAGATTTTGAAACTGTGGCAGTTCCAAACAATATTCATGAGGGAGGTGCCAATCGGAGATATGAAAATTGCAATAATCGTAAAGGGTCTCATACAGTTATTTAAATCAATGCTCATGAAGTAAAATGAAATTCCAAAGTGAATTAGGTAGTGTGCAAGTTAAATCTTGGCAAGAAGTTGTTCCTGATCAGCTTTGTTACATATGATGAATGAGAAGTTTTGCTCACCTTCTGGCCTTATAATGTATTTACTAACAAAGAGATTCAAAATTATTACAAATATTAGTTGGAAATTTTCTGGATATTTAAAAAAAACAATTTATTATCGTCTACTACAGCTGCAAAAATTGATATTTAAAAATGTTTTTTAGAGTGGTGTTTTAGTGCCACAAAATTCAGTGGCAGCTTTAAACGATTGGTCCATCTTTTTCAAATGGAAAGTTTTGGTGACCTTTTTACCAAATTCAACAAAGTGTCATTTAAACCAGAATGTGCAGTGCACAGTTCTTGCTATGGGCGCACAGTCGTCAATGATATTTAAACAAAAGTTGAATTCTGAAGACATATTTTCTACAAAGTCAGCGGATTATGAGACTATTTATAAGTACAGATAATCAAGATTGAAAAGGATCACAGACTGACCCAGCTTCACCCAACCTTGTATGACTGAGTTACAGAACACTTCAACTGATAAGTGGAAACATATTGCATCTGCTAAAGGATATAGTTGTGGTGTAGGTCAAGGAGATATCAATGTGACAAGCACAGAAACATAAGCAATCATATGGATCTAATAGGACCTGATTGTCTTATGTACCAATTTTTGGATATACAATTCTTGTGTCATCAGGACTGTTGATCTTTCCGTCCAGTCAGGAAACTATGAATGTTAGTTCTGAGGTAGAGTTGACTCTAGTGGAACAAGCTTGTACAACCAGCTGGCAGCTGTTCTCAGGGTCAGTAGTTCAGAAGAATGTGGCATAGGTACAAATGGAGTGGAAAGGAGATACCTAGTTTCTCTGTTTAATTGTCATTACGAGCTGATTATTGCACAAGGAACCTCATCAGCTGCATACATGGCAGGCTGCTCACAAGACAAAATGCAATGTTACAGATCAAGGCCAGACAGATGCCTTTTACATTTAGCCTTCAAGGCAAGTTACTCTGTAATTGCTATACAAGATGGCAAAAGTGATGAATTTCTCAAATTTGTCAGAGAATTGAAGTGAAAAGACCAATGGCTGAAGTTTCAAAATTTGATCACCTTGGTGTTCTTAACTTAAGACCTGGAAACTTGAGGACTTCTTCATTGTAATCTCTTTGCAATTTAGGCATGTACTAATAGGCTTCAGTAGTCCAATGACCATGCACTTGCAGATAGGAAATAAAGATTTGCCATCTTCAATTGAGAGACATGAAAGACTGAGGGCATGCATGTTGCAGTAACAAAAGGATGAAATTAATCATATTTATATGTCAAGGTACTTCCAGTAGCTGTTTAATTTCCTGTCTTGCTTTAGACAAAGCATGGCCGAGCTCTTTATTTTTGCTCTTTTCCTTTTTAGCATGTAATTAAATTACTTATGGGGTACTCTGCTAATATGCAAGGGTCTGTATGTAAATCAATTTTTTAAGTTGCATAAAGTGCATATTTTGTGGTGATCATTTTCATTTTTTTTTCTTTTTCTTTTAATCACATTCATGCAGTCATTTTATGAGTCCAGTCTACTTTTAGTCTTGATTCGTGGGTATTATTATAATATTATTCTGGTGAATACAGCTGTTTAAGTGCTCTGATGAGATAAGGGTATTGGATATTTATCATCAGGGAATAATTGATGAATTTTTGAGAAATAATTTGCAGTCCCCATTGAGAGATTTTACTTTTGTAAAGAACAGAGGAATGGAGTTAACCCTTAAACTCTCAAGATCTGATTTTTGATTCTCACTTTTAGCTGCTACACATTTCCTCATGCATAAGTAACAAGAATTTGGGGTTAGATCAGGATATCAACTTCTACCTGATAAGTTTGAGTATTCTCATTATCTGTTTGCTGGATGATGTATAGATATTATACAGAGAAGCTTCATGTTAATCACTTCTGGGAGTTGAAGGGTTAAACATGGGTGATGCGAGGCATAAGGGAATATTTACTGCTACTTGTCTCACAATATTGTCCCAATGTTGTGAGAAAAGTTGCTCTATTGCTATTTCTTTAGAGTCTCCTTTAAGTTGTTGGTGCTTTTGAATTTATAGAAAGTATTTATTTATTTATCTATTTATTGTATACATGTTATTTCATGGCTGTAAGCATCTTCTTTTTCTCCTTGGAGATCTTGCTTTCTATGAAATGTCATCCTATGTTAAGGCGTTATTTAAGCTATTTTTAATAATTGCTGAAATTTCACAAATTGATTTCTTTTCTGTTTTGGGTTGATTCCTAAAATGTCTGCAAACAGGTTTTGCATTAAGTAAATTTGTTATTAGTGCAGAAGTTGTTATTTTAGTGATCATTGTATATAAGAACAAATGTTAGCCTGTGGGTTTTGGTATGTTTTGCATTGTAAAAATAGATATAACTGTTGGAATGGGTAGAAATTAGTGGGGAAATTACACCTTGAAATTTTGCTTTAAGCAGAAGTTGGTTCTCAAGATAAGCTTCTTCAATGAATGGAAAGGTGTACAGTGTCTACTGACAATTACTAATCTTTAAAGTAAACTGTCAAATAAGGTATTTGTGTTATTGAGGGAAGATTTGTGAAGTCAGCTCTTCTTTTTTCAGTGAAACTTGCACTTCTGTTTTGGGTTATTAGAATGTCTTGATTTAGCCATAAATTCAGGCTTTTCATTCTTATCTGTATATATTGCAGAGCTTAACCCCTAGAGTTACCACAAAGTGATGTAAATTGGTCAAAATATGAGATTTAACCCACAGCAGCAAACATAATTAAGTTCTCTTTTGTTGCTCAATATATATTTATATATTTATATACAATATGTAGTTAAAATAAGTTTATGCATGGTCACCAGTTTAACAATAGTCCCAGAGTTATATGATTTTACAATGTGAAAGTATTATTTAAGTTTTCTCATTTGCAGCATTTGTTCATAGGTAATATTTATTTCAGGAATTGAGCAAAGTGTACCTTGACAATAAACTAAAATAATAAAAAAAATGATGCTAGTCTTTTGATCGTCTTGATCGAATTGCAATTATCGCCTTACTAAATTTGACTAGTCCCTTTGAAAAATATAGATCCCGCACAACGTAATTAATAAGATCTTCAGACCTATTCCTCCCGCGGAGTAATTAGCGATATTGATTAAGAAAATCAGCAAAGTTGAGCATCCAGATGTCCATTTTTCCCTCGAGTTCCGAGAGCTCTTACTTCCCCTCCTCTTCCCCTACCCCCCTCTTCCACCGAATTTTGGTTAGCTACAGAAGTATGTAGTCTCAAATATTGTAAATCCTTCCCTTTGCTAGAATTCGGATATATTGCCTCTTGTTTTCAACTTTGACGAAAAGATTGAAAGATGCATTGTGCATTGGAATCATTCAGTGACTGCATAGTATTCTACCATTTGGTTTTGCTTTATAAAAAGTTTTTCGAAACTCCTGTTCCGTTGAGATATTTCAAAAGGAAAAGAACTAAAGAAAAAGGAAAGCGGAAAGAAAACAGCGCCCAGGAAGCAAAAGGGACGAAAACGGAAGAAACAAAGCAAATAAAAACCAAATCAGTCAAAACGTATAAGAAAGTTAACCGTGCAGTCCAGGACCACAGGATGACAAACATATTCATTTGAATTGCAAATTTACTCGAGAAAAACTAGATTTTTTCCTTTTTGATTTGTTTAAAATACACTTCAATTAACCTCCTGCCGCCTGCTAGAATTTCGCGTTCCTTTAACAACTCAAGCGTTGAAGAGCTACTTGGGTGGAGGGGGTAGGGTGTATTTTGATTTTGTTGTTGCTCAGATTCTTTGTTTAATTTCACAATTTCCATTATTCTACCAAGTTATTAAGTTAAAATTGATTTTTATGAGAAGGATAGAAATGTGAAAGATATCACCTTTCCGTAAGTTTTGTGTTAATAGTTGCCCTTCTAGTCCTCCCTCCACTCGTTAGTTGACCATGTGTTTTGAAGTCATCATGACGTATCAGTGCTGTCGGTTACACTTTTGATTTCTATCGTGAGGCGCCGCGATAAATTCCTCTCGTTCAGAATTTCTGGAACTCAGGAGCTAGTTCATCACATTTTTCAAGAACGGAGTCGTTTAACGCATCACGGGTAGCTGCCATCGATCTACAGCTGGTAAGGGCTTTCACGGGGACAAATCTCGTAGATTTCTCAAGAACTAAGTAAACATTCGTTTGAAAGGGATTATATTATACGCTTGGAGTTGAAAAATCACGGTAATTCGTCGAAAAGATCAGCCGTATTGGATAGAGTTGAATAGAAACGATAGTAAGAAAGGTCTAAACGATTGTCTTAAACTGAGCTGAGAAAGCTTCAACTCTGACCATGAAGGTAGACCAGTGTGTGTTCGTTTTATTGTGGGCGATTGCGTTTGTTGTTTGTTTCACCTTCCCATATTCCGCAGCCGCGGGAGAAGATTGCACGAATTTCAACAAGTCTTGCAGCGATTGCACTGGGCATTCGCAATGTTACTGGTGTTCTTCAACAGAGGCTTGTATAAAGTATCCTGGATGGACGAAGATTGTTCCTCGAAATTGCCCGAGCAAGAAATGGTTTTATGGTCAGTGTCGAATATCAGGCTATGTCCTCATCATTTTAGTCCCTTCCTTGGTCGGTGCCTTCTTGTTATTTCTCGGATGTTGTATCTACTGTTGTTGTTGTCGCCAGTGCAACAAATGCAAGAAAAAGCGAATGGATAAGGAAGACGCAAAATTGAAGCGTAAACGAGAAGAAATGACGGCCCTTCATTCTCAGAAACGAAGCGAAAGGGAAATCAAGAGAGATGAAATCAGAAAGAAGTACGGCCTTCGGCCTGGATCGTCCGGTTATCAGCGAATTGAGGACAACCCTTGAATTCGTCGCTATGGAATTTTTGGTGATCCATTAATTTATATTGTTATCAATATAATAAGAACGAAGAATTCTTTCTTTTGAGAAGAAACTTAGTAGAAGTATAATTTCTATCAGACGGCTACGGAAAGAGAATTCCTTAGATTAAGTATATTTTTCTAGCTATTTGAGCACAAATTATATCGCCCTACACGTAAAAAAAAAACGAAATCTGTGTATGTCTTCTTTACTTATTCTCTTTGCATCTGTATATTGCACTCTAGGTAGCAAATCGCAGTCGTATGTTTTTTAATATTAAATGTCGGGTTTTTTAAGCAATTTTACAACGTGAAGTTCCCGTTTCTGGATGAGTGAACTCAAAATTTCCTGTTTCGTAATCAACATTTATTTTGTTGTTCTCGCTGAAGCCAGCAATGCTTTGGTCTTTTCAGTTTCACTGCCCTTTTTTTCTTAATCTGTTGTATTTCAATTTTTCTATTACTTAATTCTATTAAATCTGATAATTTGACATCAATTTTCTAACGGAGTATTTTGACTTTTGTGTTTCTGTGGATATTAATCAAGTAGAAAAAGCCAAATTGAATAAGTTGGTTTTCAGTTACATGCTTGTAGTTAATATAAAGGAAATGTTAAAATTTGTTATTCCTCATTCTCCCTTTGTCTCTTGTCTTAAATTAAAATGCTGTCCACCAGAATTGCTGGGGGTGGATATAATTCCTTTTAGGGGGTGGGGGTGGTGGTGTTGGTGGTGGTGGGGTTGGTAGTAATCCTCAGGAAAAAAAGGAGATGAAAATTCAAACAAAACGAAAAATTTAACAAAAGAGAAACAAAGGAAAAGAGCAGCAACAATATTTTCTTAAAAGATCGAAGAAAATGTTTGTGCATCTGTTTTGTGAATGAATAGCTTTCAAAAAGAAAGTTACCCAACAAGGATGTGGTTAATTATAAGGGAAAAGCACTACAAACCCATTGTATGTTTCCATTTTTTTTTTTTCTAAAGTCCTCCATCCCTTCATATGTTTGTATGGTCGGCAAAATTTGAGAAAATTTTCTTTTGTCTGAGTACAATATAATGGACAAAATACAATGTTATTTGAATGTCAATATAGATGACAACGAGGAAAGGAAGGACTGGACACTGCAATCTTCAGAATATAGAAAGGTTAATGATTTTGAAATTTGATTTGGATTGTGCAGTGTCGAAATGAAACAAGTTATCCAAGTGGGAAACTCAAAATCACTATTTCAAAGTCATTAATTTTCTAAATAGCAGTATAATTAGCTGATCTTCTCGTGCAACAGAACTGTGATTCGGGATATTCCTCTTGATTCCTGTAAGGATAAATAGTTTTGGGTCAAGTTAAGGTAAGCAGAATCGAACAGATTTGCGTTTGTCTCAGATAATCAACCCTCAACAGAATTACAATTAATTCACTTCCCATTATTGTGTCACGTGACCCTAAGAAGATGGCGGCAGGCGTTAGAGGAAGTGAAGGAGGCCGCTGAAGTGAAGTTCCAAAGAGTGCGGCACATTTTCGTCAGTTTTCGTTGTTTCTCTGAGTCATTCATCAATATGGTCTGTGTGGTATTATTTTGATAAAATCTTCGAAGCAAGAGCGATGCATGAACTAGTTGCGGCTTCAAATCGCGTGAAACCACCGGATGGCTTCAGCGCGAGGCAACCTGTCAAGTTTATTCCAGTGATCTTAGTGAATGTTTTTATGTTGCTATGGCTGTTTGTGGGTAGTCTTAACGCACTTTCCGAAGGTAAGTTGTCTCAAAACCTTTTCTTTTTTGCTTTCTTTCTCGTTTCCGCCTCTGGGGTTGACTGTGGTCGATTAATTTTGTTCAAGTAGCTATAAGCTTCCGTGATTGTTCAAGAGGTAGTCAAGTAAATGGTTTATTTGATGTATTGACCCCAGTTGAGTATGTTTGTATTTCAGTCTTTCTTTCCTTTTTTCTACCTCCTTTATTTACGTTTTATTTAACTTTTGAACATGGACACGAACACAAGCGCATCCTAAGAAAGATTCGTGTTACTACATGAGATATTGTGAAACTGTTCATCATTGGTTTAGAATTCATGATCAAATTTTTTACGTTCCTCCTTTTTGATTATGTCGCGAAGTAAATCGTGAGAGATTTGTTTGCCCCGCTACTCTTGAAGATTATAGGGACTTTGCTAAGCCATCTTCCTATGCCTTATTTTCCCTTAAATCCGCATGATAAATATTCTATGATTCTGTGGTTTACTGGGTAATAGATCAACCACAGAGTTTCATATCCTTTTGTTTTTATCTTTGTCTTGAGAGCTTTTCTGTTGACAAGTCATGCTATGGAATTGATAAAGATGTCATTGCATTGCAATTATACCTAGTCTTGAATTATGTTAGTGTGAAATTGTGATATCAGTGTTTCTCTGCCCATCTGTTTTGATCTTTATTTGACAGTAGTGGCTAACTCAATTTTTGTTAGACAGGTGGCATTCCAATGTTCTACTCAGCAACATGTTAACTCACCCTCATATAAATTAAATTGTGTGGTGCTTGAAAAGACCAAATTTTCATTCTTTTCTAGGATAATAGAGGCTAATCTTTTTTTTAAAATTGTTTTAAAATGTATATGCCATTTATGTCATGCTGACTTCAAATTAAGGGATCTTCGAGGTAATAGAGCCCTGTTACTTTCTTTTATCTACACTGCAGCATTAAGATCAGATAGCAATGTAAGGGGTTTGACTAGGTTTCAAGCTGAAGGTAACTGGATTTGGCCCTCATGCATATTTCATGGAAGGCTTAGAGCCTACCCCTCCCCCCTTCCCCCTTCTCCCCCCCCACCAGGTGGCTTGGAGATGTGCTTCCTGGCACAATTTGGAATTTTTTTCAATTTCAGAGATAAATTTTCTAAAGTTTTAAGCAGAAACTAACATGTGTCAGTAGCCATTTCTTAAGATAATTGAATCATGATTTGATACATAATTAATTGATGAATTCCAAGATAATTTGGTTTTATCAGCTGAATTGATAACATGGATTGGCCATTGTAAAAAGTTTCTAAAGCTGATGTTTCAAGCATTAGTCCTTTGTCAGATTTTCTCTGACGGCTATTCAATCCTCCTGCTGCCTGGTCCTTAAAC